CCAAACCACGCTGGCGAATTAGCTCAAGAGTTTTCGAAGATAGGCGATTTTTTGTGGCTATCTCTCTCTTGGCGTTTCTCGCACATTCATGGAGGTGCTGAACCAGTTGATTGTATTCCTCGTCAATGTTGTCAACAATGGCATCTTCCCATGTTGCCGCAATAGTACCAAAGAGTTCCCAGTTGGTGGTCATTCTGGCAGTTCTCTTTTTGAACTTTGCAGCCCTTTCTCCCCGCTCTGTGAAGTAGAATTTTGCACGAAGGAGACGGTGGTCCGATCCCGTTCGAAATTTTGGGACAACAGCGACATCAGTCAGGCAAAACCGTCGATTGAATATGATGTGGTCTATTTCGTTGTGGAATCGTCCACCGGGAGACTCCCATGTCCATCGTTTAGATTCTGCCTTCTGGAACTGTGAGTTACCATGAATGGTCTTGGTCGACATGATGAACTCAGACAGTCTCTCACCCTGTTCGTTCCATTCTAGGCCATGGGTCCTGATGTGAAGTTCTTCAGCTGATCTTCTCGGTCCTATCTTGGCATTAAAATCACCCACAATGATCTTGTAGAAGGTGTGGTCTTCTTTATAGAACTTCTCTAGCTCCATGTAGAACTTCTCGATTTCTCTTTCATCATAATGAGATGTTGGTGCGTAGACAACGAAGATAGAAACTGCAGGCAGTGAGCCACATCTATTCAAATGTAAACGTCCGATTCGGGTTGTTAGGCATTCGAATGAATCAATGCTCTTGGCCAAGTTTGTGTTGACAAGGACACTGACGCCTCCAACACCTCTTTTATTGCATGTTCCGAGGAACAATTCTTCTCCAGTGTCAAAAACGGCATGGTTCACTAATTTTTTATTCACTGATAAAAAATTTAAAAAAAAAGAAGTGCTCCCTCCCCTCTTCCACATCCTCCAGCTTCCCCCTCCCTCCACAGATGAAGTGTCTCAAGCTTCATTCATTCACTTGATAATTCACTTGATAATTCACTTAATAATTGTTGTCTGAGAAGATTTGAGCTATCTGGACATCAGGGAGGTTATTCTGAAGGGTACAGCTGCAAGTCACAGGCAGTGAGTGGACAGTCCAGCTGGGGCCAACGGTGAGCTTGCCAAGTTGATAGCTGGAACGTAAATGTCCTCCGGCTGTTGTCAGCCTATCAGGCCGAGCCGTGCACCTTCCAGGATGCTTTCTGGCAATGAGGGGAAAGGTTGAAAGCTGGAAAGTGTTTTTTTTTTTTTATTATAGTCCCTTTTTGAGACTCAGAAGGGTTGCCCGTAAGCAGAATTTTTAAAATTTAATGTAATTTTTAAAAGTTGTTCACAATAATTCATCACATTTAATATTCAAACACCAATCCCACTACTATTGCACCTTCCCACCACCATATTTAGAATGTTTCCACCCTAAATTCCAAATCGTCCCCCCCTCAAAGCAGAACTGAAACAGTTAATTTTGTGTTGCTTGTCATGAATAATCTGCTAAAAATGGTCCCATAAAGTTTCTTTAGGGGAAAATGTGTGAAGATTGTTGTATTTCATCCTGGAGTCATTAAGCCCTTGTATAAGAGATTACTAACATGTTTGTGGACTGCAGCGACAGCAGAGGGGGTAGGGCGTTTGCCTTGCACGCAACCAACATGGCCGACCCGATTTCAATTCCTCCGCCCCTCTCGGAGAGCCCGGCAAGCTACCGAGAGTATCTTGCCCGCACGGCAGAGCCTGGCAAGCTACCCGTGACTATTCGATATGCCAAACACAGTAACAATAAGTCTCACAATGGAGACGTTACTGGGCCTGCGCGAGCAAATCGATGAACAACGGGAGGACCGTGACCGTAAACATGTTTGTAAACCCCCATCAAATGTTGTGTGCTACCTTGGTACATCAGAGGTATAGAGTATGAGAGCTCCAGGAATTCTGAAAATTAGAATATGATTATACAGCAGATTCACTCATGGGTGAGGCCTATGTTACTCTCTTCTGGGAGCTTTGTTTCTGAGTCTTTGGATCTTGGCCATTAATGAGATTAAACAATGCCAGGGGCAGTTTGTGGGTGTGACTGCCAAGCTAGTGGTAAACTTGGGAGAGCAGCAAGGAGGCCCATTCCTGCTCCTTTTGATGATAGAGATTTTAAAATGGGTGTATGCACAGTCGTGCTTTCAGTTTCTGGAGCTTCAGATACCTGTCGGGTCTCCATCTACAGCAGTACTAAGAAAGGAAAAGCTGATGGCTAAGCTTGTTGGATGTACTTGATACCGCCTTGTTTTTGTCACTGTGCTTGGACATTGCCACTGCCGCTTACATCTCTGGCCCATCCCTGAGATGATTCCATCGCAGCACAACTGTGCAGTCTTTCTCCCTGAAGCCCTTAGAGAGTCCATTTTCAGATGGACCGCCCATCGTCTCAGCACTGTACCATGAGGAGTCAGTCTCTAAATGCTCTTCCAAGAGTCTAACAGGACAGTCTGGTGACAGCCTTTGCTCGTCAGGAGCCAGTTCTGTTAAAGGTGCTCTGAACACCATTAGAGTAGTAACAAGTGACCAGGTCCTCTCTGTTTCCATATTTACCCCAGTTTGTGCATGAATTTTTGTCTGTTATGTGTAAGAAAAATCTCCCCTACAGTCTTGAGAAAATAGCTTTGCCAGTTTGTCTGGTCTTCGTCTCAGATTTAAATTTTGTTCCCTATTGTCTTTCTGCTGGACGGTGGAAAGCTGAACTTCATCTGCAAGTCTGAGAGATAGAGGCTTTTGGTACTTGGTTTAGGCAGAGTTGAGAGTCAGTATTTTTCTTTGGTGGGCATCAAAGTGCAGCAATGGTCATGTACCTGCTCTCCTGTTAATCTTAGTCTTTTTTCTTGGTTGGTGTTTGGTGACAAAGAATTGTGCACATTCATTATTCATAGAAAATTTGTGTTGCTTGTTTTTTGTTTGCTGCCTTAAATCTGTTATGCATCTTCTTTTATGTGAGAAATAAACTGATGTCCTTTTGTCCTGTATTCTCCCCCTTTCCCCAATAAAACTTGATTCTCTTTTTGAAAGTACCTTTAGTTACCATCTCAGCCAAATTAGATCATTTTCATAAATGCCTATCTACAATCCCCAAACAGACTTCTTCTGGAAGAAGCCTTCCCACTTAAAGAATGGGAAGTAGAGGAAAGAAGTTAGAATTTGAAGAAGCAGTAAAGGGGGAAGGAAGGAATGAGAGGGAGGAAAGGATGAAGGCGAGTGAATAAGAACGTTTCTTTCAGGATGTGTATAATATGTGGGCCCTGTTGGGAAAATCTTTTCTTTTCCCCAGGTTCCAGCATTAGATTGTTTGTTATAGTCACATATGTCCTGAATTTATTCTCTGTCTCTCTTCCCTCTTAGTTTTCTCTAAGTGGGTACTGTCTGTTCAGTTGGGTATTGTCTATTTTTCTTCTATATCACTAATTCTGTACTCTGTTGATCAAGACAAAATTGGGTTATTGCATTTTTCAGTTCTGAAATTTTCTTATATTTTTACCTTTTCTGTTTTGTTTTTTTTAAAGAATTTCTCTGCTGAGATGCTTTATTTTCTGGTGGTTACTTGTTATTTTATTTCTTAAACTTATTTTCTTTTTGGCCATTGAGCCACACCATGCTGTGCTCAGAGGCTCCTGCTTCTGTGCTCAAGGATCAGTCTTGGTGGTGACCATGTCAGGGACCTGGTGGTGCCAGGAGTTAAATCTGGGTTGACTGCAAGGCCATCCCTTTACCTATTGTACTGTCTTTCCAGTCCCTGATGGTTGCTTTTAAATATTTGTCAAATCATTTTTAACTTTTCTAACCAATCAAGTTTACTTACTTTAGAGCCATGTGTCATATTTTAATATATTTTAATTAGCTATAGTTTTCTATTAGTCAAAAACACATATGCTGCTTTTCCCAAATCTCTTTAAGTACAGGAAAGAAGCAAGAAAGAGATGAGGTCTGTTTGTCTTTTTTTATTTTTAATTAAAGAACTGTAATTTATAAAGTTATTGATAGTTGTCTGCCACAGAGCCTGGGGGGGAATGGAAGGAGGGGGTGGCAGGAGGGATACTGGAAAATTGGTGATGGAGAATGAGAACAGGTGGAGGGATGGGTACTTGAACATTGTATGACCAAAATGTAATCATGGAAGTTTGTAAGTCTATATCTCATGGTGATTCATTAAAATTAATAAAAAAATTTAAAAAACACAAAAAAACAAATTATTGATAGTTGAATTTTAGGCATATAATATTTTAATGCCAATCCCACTATCAGCATTATCATCCCTCTACAAGTGTCCCTTATTCCCCCCACAGCCCATCCCCACCTGTCACCTTGATAGGTGCATTGCAAAGTACCAGTTATTGCAGATTAGATCTCATGTTTTCAATGTGGTTGAGTCTGTATTTTGAAAATATGGCTGTGCCATTCCCTGTGTCACTAGTTGGATTTTGTCAAAAGCTTTTTCTGTGTCAATTGATAAGATCATAAGATTTTTATCATTCCTTTAACCAATGTGGTATATTATGTCAATTGATTTGCATATTTTGAAGCATCCCTACATCCCTGGAATGAATCACAGTGATCAGTTTACACATTACTTCCCATTCTTTTCTCTCCACCTTGATTTCTTTCTTTCCCTGTTGTCCTCTCTTAAGTACTGTGGTCAAAGGTGATCTAGGCATCTCTCCTTTACTACAGTACATTACCTCATCCAGTATTCTTTATATCACAGATAAGTAAGGTCATCCTCCTGTGTTTGTCTTATTCTGGCTTGCTTCACTCAGTGTTCCAGTTCACTCAATGTTCCAGTTCTAGCTGGGTTGTATCAAATTGAATGATTTCATCATTCCTTGCAGCAGTATAGAGTTCTATTGTGTATATATTTCACGTCTTCGCACTCCATTGAGATAAGTTTTGAAGAAAATTTCACAGTCACAAGCAAGGAAACAGTTTGTACAATGTTTAACCACTTGTCTTTTGCTTTCTTTTATCAAAGGAGCCAGTGCATCAACCAAATGAAAGAGGTGAAGGAGCAGTGTGAAGAGCGAATAGAAGAAGTCACCAGAAAAAGTATAGCTTCCAGAGAACTGAATGAAAAAAAAGATCAGCAGGCAATTCTAGTTTGGTTTGGTTTGGTTTGGTTTTGGGTCTGTATCTGGCACTGCTCAAGGCTTACTCCTAGCTCTGCACTCAGGGGTTACTCCTGGCAATGCTCAGGGTACCATACGCAATACTGGAAATCAACTGGGTCTGACTTCTGCCTTAACCCTGTAAAATCACTTTGCACTTTGGCCTCTATTCTCGTTGTTTCTATTAAGAATGTCCAGAACTTTCCTGTGGTCTCCTCAGACATTTTGCTCTCTATCTGCTGTCTGATTTGCTCAAATCTCTGCTCTCTCTTGTGGGTTTGGGGGCTTGGTTCCCCAAACAACAGCCGAAAGCCTGGCCCCAAAACGCTCGCAGAGTATGCTTCTCCATTCCTGCCTTCCCCATTCCTGTGATCAGGCCTGTAGTTTGTTTCCTGGATTTTGTTTTGTGTTGGACCACACTAAATAGTGCTCAAGGGTGGCTGCTGGGGCATAGAATTTAGTGCCATCTTGTCTTCTAAGAGTTTAATCATGCTTAGCATTTAGTTTTTACATTGAGCTATGACCCTCTTTGAGTTATTTAATTTCTATATATATCATGTGAGGTGTCAATCAGACTTTATTCTTTGGCATATGGATATATCCAGTTCTCTCAGCAATGTTGAATTACCACTACCAAAAAAAAAAAGACCAGAGAAACAGCGCAAGGGTTCAGGTACCTGCTCTGTATGCAGCTAATCTTGGTTCAATCCCCCACGCCACATGGTCCCAGAATACTGCCTCCCTTCCCCCCCATAGAGCTAGTTGTGATCCAGACTGTGCCCCCCAATTCTTTTTGGTATTGTTATGTAATTTTCAGAAGTTTTTCACTTTTTAAGATTTGTAAGTGTTTGAAACTGTGGGATTGTTTTCTTAATTTTAAACTCAAGTTGTTTACTGCTAGTTTATGATTTTATACTATTTTAAGATTCATAGTTTGGAATCTTACTGAACTTACTTTGAAGTGTTCTAAAAGTACTTTTTGTGATTTTTTTTTAGGATTTTCTATACAAGATTATATAATCTAAAGTTATACATTATTTTGCATCTTCTTTTCCAATCTGAATGCCTTACTGATTTATTTTTCTTGCCTGGCTAAAACTACCAGTACACTGTTTAAAAGGAGATAAGATCAGACATTTTTACCTAGACTTGTTCTTGATTTTGGGGGAACACATGAACACATTCAAATCTTTACCATTATGATGTTCACTTTATTTATTTTTTTTTTAAATAAATGCATTTGATTGAGCTGAGTTAGTTCCCATATGCACTTAATTTTTCATTGTTTCTGTCAAAGAGAGTTGTGGGGTTGGGGGTTGGAAGTATGGAATGGAAGAGTCCCTTTATGTAGCAAACCCTGGTTCAGTCCCAGACACTGCTAAGGGTTATTACCCGAGCACAGAGGAAGAGTAATCAACCACTAGTACTTTCATGTGTGGCCCGGATCTCTCCCAAAAAGAGTGGTTTTTTTTTTTTTTTGTTCAAGTCTTTCTCTGCTTCTATTCAGAAAATCGATAGCACAGCGGGTAGGGCGTTCGCCTTACAAGCGGCCAACATGGCCGACGCAAGTTCGATTCCTCCGCCCCTCTCGGAGAGCCCGGCAAGTATTCGATATGCCAAACACAGTAACAACAAAGTCTCCAATGGAGACGTTACTGGGCCCGCTCGAGCAAATTCTTTGGTAGGGTGTTGATTTTTGTATGATAAACAAGTGTTGTCAAGATATATAGTCCTTTGATGTGTGAATTTAATTTAATAATGATAGTCTTTGAGGAGTTTGATCCAAGCTGTTGATCTATAGCTTTAATTCTTGTAATAACTTGGTCTAGCTTTAGAATAGGGGCAGTGACTGAGCTCATGAAGGGAGATCGGGATGTTTGTTCATCTTCTGTTTTGAGAAGAGTTGTAAAATTTGGTATTGATTATTCTTTAATTGTTCCGTAAAATTCACTGGGCCTGTACTCTCTGGACATTTGAAAATCAGCAATTAATTTCTTTAGTTATTTTAGTCTACTTAGATTTTCTACTTCCTAAGTCAGTTTTGATACATTTTATCTTTCTAAGAGCTTGTCAGTTTCATCTAAATTGTTATACTTGTCATACTGTTGGTTTGAGTATTACTTTATAATAGCACGGTCCTCCCATTGTTCATCCAATTGCTAGAGTGGGCCCAGTGACGTCTCCTTTTTGAGACTTGTTTGGGTAGCTTGCCAGGCTTTGCTGTGCAGGTGAGATACTCTGGGTAGCTTGCCGGGCTGAAAGGGGAGGAAAAATCGAACTCTGGTCAGCGGGTCTAACGCGTGCAAGGGCCTACCCGCTGTGCTATAAGGTTTACAGTGCTGTGCTCCTTACGTTTGATTTTACTAATTAGAATCTTCTGTTTATTTAGAGGTTTGTCAATTTTGTTTATATAAAAACTATGATTACTATGATTTCTCTATTACTTTTCTGTTCCATTACTTCCTGCATTGCTGCACTGATTGATTTCTTTCTTTGATGTCCAGTTTACACTTACTTTTTCTTTAAGGTCGAAGAATATTTAAGATCTTTCTTTTTCCTTGTTTAGGCTGATAAATTCCTTGTAAGTCATTGATTTAGCTGCCTCCTGAAAGTTTGGTATATTGTTAGTTTAATTTTTTCTCAAAAATTTTTCTAACTTGTCTTGATTTCTTTCACCTAATGGTTGAGTTGTGTTTTATCTAATTTCCACATATTTGTGAATTCCTCACAGTTCTTTTTGTTATTAATATATCATTTTATCCTATTGTGATTGGAAAACATAACTTTGTATGATTTCAGTCATGATAAGTTAGTTGAGCCTTACTTTTTATGGCTCAGCATGTTTGTCTTAGAGAATATTCCACATGTGCTTGAGAAGAGTATGTGTTTTGCTCTTGTTGGGCTCGGTGCTTATAGAGGCCTTTGAAGTCTGCGAGATTAGTGCTGATCAGATCTCCACTTGTGATCTTGTATTGTCAACCCAATAAAGAAAGTATTTTTGGGAGATCTTGATCCAGTGTCATCTCATGTGCAAAATATCAGGTGGTAGGGCATGATTGAGTCAGGCCATAGAGAGAATATTTCCAAGGGTTTTGATTTTTCTCGTTTGTCTGAAGGAGGAGGTGGTCCACTGCCTGGCAGGGATTCTTGTAAAGTTTATGTCATGGAACCCCTGACCTCGATGTTCTATGCTTCTATTTCAATTTCAGGTGCCCAGTGAAACTCTACCCCAGCTGCAGGAAGCAGGCCCAGCCGAGGGAGAGATGCCTCCAGCCAAGGGAAAGGTGCTTGGCAATGGGGAGCTCCAGACACCAGCCCCCAGCTCTGAGGTGGCCATGGGTTTGAAGAGAACAGGTAAGAAAGTGGAGCAGAGCTTGACCCTTGCACTGTTAAGCTCATTTTTAAGCTCCAGTCAAATGAAAATGAGCACTAGTTAAGGTCCTTCACTCCATACAAACCGTCTAGGGGCAGAGCTGCTGTTCTTCTTGGCTGTTGCTGAGCAGGGTCCTGGGGCTGGTACCTGGCGGGTGACCATCTCTCTGGGTACCTGGAGTCGAATTCATGATTTTCTCCTTTGTAAACTAGGTACCTCCTTCCATGGAAGATACATGAGGAAATGTGCAAACTGTGCCTCTGTTCAGGGCATGCTGTTGTGTTCTGGGAAGGTGGTGGTGTCCTGGAGCGCTGTCACAGAACAGTGTGCCCTGAAGGAGTGACACAGGGTTATTGGGAGGTCCAGACAGGCTTGACAGTCCTGAACTTGGAACTTGTCACCATGTCTAAGATGATATGATCCAGGAATCTTCCTCAGAACCACTTCCTTCTTCCTCCTGGTTCTGAAGAAGGTTTCCTGGAGTCTTGTCCTGAGGTCACCATATAAATTATCTAGCAGCTCCCTTTCCACACCCACAACATCCTCCCCCTTTGAAGGGTCTGGGACCTGACCTGTGTGAGCTCTCTGTTTCGGTTTTAATGAAATTAATCCAGGCATGGAGGAAACCAACGAGATTCAGGTCATCAGCAAGGAGGAAACCCCGAGGGACAACCTGGGACTGCCACCAGTGCCGGGTCAGGGGCAAGCTGAGACAGAAGAGAAACAGGTGGATAGACAGGGCACTGGAGAAGCTGGGGAACCCAGCCAGACCCCACAGGTGCCAGGCACCCTGTTGGCAAGCCAGAAGGATGAGGAGATGGAGGACCCTGAGCGGGACCAGCTGATCATCCGCGATGGAAGAGAGGAGCCAGAAACTGACGAGGAGGGTGAGTGAAAGGCTTCATGGCTGCCACTGACCCCTTCCCAGCATCTCTACCGAAGTAGAAGGTTCTCATGCAGTTTGCTAGCACCGGCACATGATTTTACAATTCAGCCAGGAAGCTAGGTGGGGATGGGGTAGGAGATGGGGGGTTCTACACACGGTTTTACGGATGGGTGTGTCATGGGGTGCCTTCTTCAGCATTAGCTGGGTAGGTTGATTGCTTGCCTGTCTCCATCTCTTCACTTCCTCTTGCAGAGTTCTGTGTCTGTCTGAGCACTGAAAGAAAGGAAAAGTGCACCCCACCTTTCTGGCTGGCTTTACCTTATTTGTTTATTTATTTAAAGTGAAGTGACTATGTTTTATTCATTTATTTATTTTGGCTTTTTTGGGTCACACCCAGTGTTGCTCAGGAGTTACTCCTGGCTCTGCACTCAGGAATTACTCCTGGCGGTGCTCGGGGAACCATATGGAATGCTGGGGATCGAACCTGGATCACCCGCATGCAAGGCAAATGCCCTGCCTGCTGTACTATCACTCCAACCCCTGGCTTTACCTTTTTAAAAGACATATAACAAAGAATGGGAACTAGATCAACAGTCTATGAAGGAATGTACATTAGTCCTGTAAAAATATGATTTCACCTAGCCAGCAGCATTTTTTTCTTTTTTATTAATTCACTGTGAGATACAGTAATAAAAATTTCATGTTTGAAATTTGATGATACGGTCATCAAACACCGATCCCTTCACCAGTGCTCATTTTCCACCACCAAAATCCCCAGTAATTCCCCCCTTCTCCCATTCCATACCTCTCCCCTGCCTGTGTAGCAATTAGCAAAGTATTCTATCTCTACTTTAGTTACCTTTGGTATTTTGAGATCAGTCCTACCACCTCTTATACCTCCTGAAAATACAATTGCTAGACAATATATTTTGTATTGCTTGTTATGGATATAATACAATGTCATGCGGCCACGAGAGTGGCTGTGCGCTCTAGGAATTCTAAGATTTTAATAATTAGGGTTTGAAGAAATCGATGCCGCAAGTCACTCAGGTTCGAGATTTCTGTGTGTCTGATTCGGTTCATGGCCACATGGGAGCTGGTGCTTCTTGCTGGGTTCTAGAAAATGGCAACCGCTGGAGCTCTCAGAGGGCAGGCGGTGGGACAGCACCTGCCCTGTATGGAGCAGCTCAGCAGAGAAGGCCTATTGCAAAATCCTGGGCCAACTCTGCTGCAGGTTGCTTGGGTCCAAGATTTCTGTGTGTGTCTCTAGATCGTGGCCACATCGGAGCTTAAGTAGATGGTGGGCAGATGTGGTATCATCTCTGCGTCCCATTGGGGGCGGGGGGTGGGGGAAGGCGGGCGCACTCCTCCCCTGTCCCAAGAGACTTGGGATTTACTGTCACCATGATTCATACCTGGTGCTTCCAGTCAGCAGCATTTTTTAAGATAGCTGTGCTCTGGGGATTGTGTTGATATTTGCAGAAGTCAATTGATTTCACTTAAATTCAGTGTTCGTTTATGTTTCTTTTCTCACAAGAAAAGAATGCATTCTCACAAGATCTGTTACAGAGTCACACTTTGCCAGCTTCCCTCCTAAGGTAGTTGTGCAGGCCCTCAGTTCTCAGAGCCAATGCAGAAAGCAGGTGTGAGGGAGGGAAGGCAGCTGTGTCATCCACAGAGCTTCAGACCACTCAGGCTCACATCGGGAGCTGCCTCGGCAGGACTGAGACCTGCAGGGCCTGCTGGGTGCACTCTGCATTGGATCTGACTTGAAGGAAGAAAGTCCAGGACATGTTCCTTGGACTTAGCTCCACCTCAGGAGGCGAGTGCATAAGACTTTAGGATCAGAGCTGACACTTCCAGACCTCTATTTGTAAAATGATTTTTGTTTGCTTGTTTGTTTTAACTTACACATGTACACATATGAAATGTTTTACTGAAGCCCCATGAATGTGTCTTTTGAATGTATTTTGTCTTGATCTTTTCTTCAGGGATATAGTAATATAGTAATGAATGGTCTAATCCTGTGTGAAAGGTTAAAGATTTTTTTATTCTGTGGCTTACATGAGCCACTGCATTTCCTGGAACAAGATGCTGTGGAAATGCTTTTAGAATTAGAAACCTGTATGTGAGGCAAACATCATAACCACGACACTAAGAACTAACTGGGAAACCTGTTGTCTTGAAAGCCAGTGAGTTGATCATCTCTAAAAAGTGATTTTTCAAGAGCCCCTAGATGAGGAATTGGAAAAACTGGATCGACACACACAGGGTTCATCCTTCACACTCAAAAAGTTCCGGACAGAATTCTTCTTTAGTTCACATGGATATAGAGTATAATTCAGATAGCCACAAAATTATACATACACACACAAAAATCATATCAATTATCTTCTTAGATCACAGTGCTAAGAAAATATAAAATATCCATAAAACGAAGATGGGGAAAAACTTCAACATTTAGAACTTCAGCTCCTAAATAACAGCTTAATCAAAGAGGAAATAAAAGAAGAACTTAGAGGATTCCAGCAAATCAAAAAAGGGGGGAAAAAAACCCAATCAGAACATATAGGACATACAAGCAGTGCTAAGTGGGAAATTCATAGCAACAGGAAAAGAGAAAAGACTCAAATCAATAACCTAATCTTACAGCTTGATAATCTAAAATAGAAACAACAAATAAATGAATCCCAAAGTTAGTAGGAGGTAGGAAATAAAAATTAGAGCAGAAATTAATAATACAGAAACCAAGAAAACAATACAAAGGGTCAGTGAAACCAGGAACTGTTTTTTTCAAAAAAATAAATACGATCTACAAACCCTTATCTCGATTGACAAGAGAATATAGAAGAGATCCCACATAGAGATGAAAGGAGAGAAATGATAATAGAAACAAAACAAGAACAAAATCATGAGGTTATTACCAACAGCTGCAGGCCACTAAGCTGGAGAACCTAGAAGGAAGGAATTAGAATCAGATAACCTCCCCAAATAGAATGAATATGCAGTAGAAAACCTGAGTAGTACAATCATGAGAAAGAAAATTGAAATAGCAAATTAAAATCTGACCTAGGGACCAGAGTGATAGTACAGCTGGTAGGGCGTTTGCCTTGCACACGGCCAACACGGATTCAATCCCCAGCATCCCATATGGTCCCCAAGCACTGCCAAGAGTAATTCCTGAGTGCAGAGCCAGGAGTAACCCCTGAACATTGCTAGGTGTGACCCAAAAAGCAAAACAAACAAAAAAAAACTGATCTAGAATTAAATCCATGGTCAGATGCATTCATCTGACTTCTTCCAAACTTTTAGTGAAGACTTAGAACCAGATCTCCTCAAGCTCTTACAAACAAAGACATAGGAATCTTTTCTGACAGCTTTTATGAAGCCAGCAATGCCCTATTACCAAAAGTGAGAAATCATACTAAAAAGAAATCGCACTCTTTTCTGACAATTTCTATGAAGCCAACATTGCCCTAAGAAATACTACTAAAAATTAAAATAAAATTAAAAAGTAAGAAATACTACTAAAAATTAAATATCAATATCCATGATGAACATAGGTGCAAAATCCTCAACAGAATCATAGTGAAATGGAATGCAGCAACATTAAAAGACTCCTGATGAAGTGGAATTCATCCTACTGATGCAAGGATGGTCAGTCATACACAAATACACATCATACACAAATCAGTTAATGTAACACACCATTATCATCAGAAAGAAGCACAAAAGATATATGATCCTGTCAATTTATAGAGAAAACTTCTGACAGAATTCAACACCTATTCATGTAAAAAACCACAACAAATTAAGTTGGAAGGAAACTTCCTCAGGATACAACAAACCCACAGCCAACATTATACTCAAGTGGTGAAAAACAGCTTTTCACCCGAGTTCTGGCACAGTGTAAGAATATTCACTCTTTCCTCTATATCCTCTATTATCTACATTGCCTTTGAAGTTCTTACCATAGTAGTTTAGGCAACAAAAGATATGAAAGGGATCCACATTGGAAAAGAAGTTCAATTATTATTACTTGGAGATAGGCTGGAGCAATAACACAGCGGGTAGGGTGTTTGCCTTGAACATGGTGGACTTGGCTGACCCAGTTTGATTCCTCCACCCCTCTTGGAGAGCCCGGCAAGCTACCGAGAGTATCTCGCCTGCACAGCAAAGCCTGGCAAGCTACCCATGACATATTTAATATGCCAAACACAGTAACAACAGGTCTCACAATGGAGACGTTACTGGGCCCGCTCAAGCAAATCGATGAATAATGGGAGGATAGTGCTACTTGGAGATGACATAATAATAAACATTGAAGACCTTAAGTGATTCCATTAAAAGAACTATTAGAAACAAAGCAATACAGCAGAGTTGCAGGCTATGAATCAATATTCAAAAATCCATTGCTTTTCTATACAAATAATAAACTAGGAGGTTAAAACGACCTTCCTATTTAAAATAGTGAACTGGGGCCAAAAAGATAGTCCATGCCTTGCATACAGCTGACCCTGATTTGATCCCCAGCACCACATATACTAGCCTGAGCACCAGGAGTGAACCATGAGCACAGAGCCAGGAGTAAGCCCAGAGCATCTCTGGAAATCGCAAAAAATGTAAAAATGTTGTGGTATCTATACACAGTGGAATACTGTGCATATAAAAAGGTACAGCCATGCAGTTTGCTGCAATCTGGATAGAATTAAAGGGTTTCCTAATAAACTAAGTGGGAGAAGGATAGATACCAGATGGTCTCATTTATCTAGTTACAAGTGGTATGTTGAGTAACAAGGAAACGGACAGTCAGGGGGTGGGAGTAGATGTGGGTGCAGATTGGCAGTAGGGATGAAGCTCAAGGGGCATGGGGGCCAGGTGATGATGAACATCAGGACTGCGCTAGTTAATACTATTGTAGACATGTTACACAAACTATAATTTTTTTTTAATGAGTTTGCTAAGGAGGCAGTGTGGGGAGAGGGGGAGGACCATGGGCCATTGATGGAAAGAACACTAACACTTGATTTGGAGTTGAAACATTGAATACCAAAATTGTTATCAAAAGCTTTCTAAGTTACAGTGCCAAAATATTTTTTAATTTAAAGAAAAATGAGATCTTTGGTTTAGTTAGCTAATTTTCCCTTCTTCAATTTGAAACATAGCCTTTTGCATAGGGTCAGTTTGACACAGACTATCCAAAGAGAATAAGGTATCAGTACCGGAAGTAGGCGGAAGTAGGCGGGGTCCCTGCCTTTTCCTGAGAGGAAACAAAGTGCTTTAACTGGAAAAGCATGATTGGGATCATCCAGTAGTAGTTGGGCTGTGCTGTTCCTATGGTACCGAAAGAGAAATTATGTTTCTTTGTGTGTATGCTAATTTTTAGGGAGAAACCAGAAAAAAGTGGGAGAAGACGACTATAACATGGATGAAAACGAGGCTGAGTCTGAAACAGACAAGCAGGCAGCCCTTGCATGGAATGATAAAAGCTTGAACGGTAATGACTGCATGGCTCGGAGTTCACTTTTTTTTTTTTTTTTAAACATCCGGAGTCACTATACGAGGAATCCCAACAACACTGTTGTAGTTACCTGAAGGGACTTTCCTGCAGCAGCCTCTATGTGGGGGCAGCGCAGACTGATAAGACTGCTTTTTTCTCAGTATGCATGTTCAGTGGGGCTCGAGCCCTCAGGAACTGGAGTTGGAGGATTTTTCTTTAGGATTTATTAGGAACTTTGAGCAAAATGACTGGCTCCCTGTTTAATGACCTAAAAAATGGTCAGAGTGGGGCCTGAGTGATAGTACAATGGCTATCGCATTTGCCTTGCACAGTGGCCAACCCGAATTTCATCCCCAGCATTCCATATGGTCCCCTGAACACCACCAGGAATAATTCTTGAGTGCTGAGCTAGGAGTAGCCCCTGAACATTGCCGGGGGTGACCCCAAAAGCAAAAACATAAAACAAAAAGCAAAAAAACCTGAAAAAAAATGGCCAGAAAAACGGCTAATAGGGTGTTTGCCTTGCATGCAACCAACCCAGGTTTGATCCTTTCATTTCATATGGTGCCCCATCCCTACCAGGAGTGACCCCTGAGCCACGAGCCAGAATCAGGCCACCCATGCTTCACCTCTCTAACACTGTTTCTGCTGCTTTAGATGGAAGATACTTTCAGGGGGTCTCACTCTGGCCTTAATTTATGTTTCCTGATGATCATTGATTATAAATACGTTTAATGTCGACCAGCAAATTGGTCATTTATCATTTATTGTAGGGTAAATTATGAGTATTTTATATATATTGGATATTAACCCCTTTTAAATGTGCAATATGCACTATTTTCCCATTCTTTTTGGGAAAAGTAGTGTTTTTGGTAGTTTGTATTTTTCACTCTACCAAAGCTTGTAACTTATTGTAGGCCTCAGTTACTGATAGCTGTTGGGGTTCAGACCCCAAAAGCAGCTGTCATGCTGATATCATGACATGTCTTACTATGTTAGTTTCTGTGTTTGATATGGCCTTGAATCTTCATGGAGGTATTGGTAAGTGTGTGGATTTATTGCTGGTATTTCAATCCTTTTATTCCAGTAATATAGTTTTAAATGCTATTACTTTTAAGTTTAGTTTGAGTCAGGTTCTATCATTGTTGCCCTAACATTCCCTTTTCTACCTAACAGTCATTTTTCTATCAGTTTTGTAAAAAATAGTTAAAAAGATCTTTATGTGTTAGGAGATTGCCCTTTACTTATGATGTAATTGTAAACTTTCTCTTAGTTTCTTGCTTTTGTATGTTTATTGCCAGGCATATGTGTGTGTGTGTGTGTGAGTGTGTATGTGGGGGGGAGCGGGGCGGGAGCCTCAGGTTTTATCCCCAAACTTCGTGGTTCCCCTATGCATTGTTGCAGCTAGACTTTCTTCCTGTTCATTTTCACTGTTTCCTACTGTCTTTAAAGCTATGATGTGCTTTGGAATTTCAACTTTATACGAGTTCACCTTGAGTTAAGTTCTGACTTTGTTTTTCCTGTTCCCTCTTCCCATTTTCTTTGTTGTTATTAGGAGGGTTTACACACATGCCTGGCTGTGGTGTCTGATCACAGATTTTTGGTTTTTTGTTGGTGCTTTGTTGTTGTTGTTTAATTTTCTAGTGTTTGCCAGAGTGGCACACCAGGTTTTGGTGCTTTCACCCTCAACCTGGATGCCCCCCAAGACTCTCACATCTTTCAGTGGCTTCCCTGTGGGGAATTGTACTTCATAGCAATGGTGCTCACAAGTATTTGCAGTTGTGCTTACTGGGGGGTCACGTCCCTTGGGTACTCTGTGGCCAGAAATTGCTTGTCACACTCTGAACAGAGACAGTAGAGCTGCCAGGCTCAAAGAGCAGAGTCTGTGCTCCAATGCTTGGTGGGACATGGAAAATTTGAACTTGTAACTGTATGTTTGCTGGGCAAACATTCTAAACTCCCATGCCATTCCTCTAGGTCTTCCTGTGAAGGCTTGAGGGGAAATCCTTAGGGTAAAAGTGACTTTACCCTGGGTTTTTTAAAAAGTAGAATTTCAAATATTCTTCATCCAGGTGCCCCCAGCTGTTAGCAGTGTAGCACTGTCCTCCCATTGTGAGACTTGTTACTGTTTTTGCATATTGAATACACCAGGGGGAGCTTTCCAGGCTCTGCTGTGCAGGCAGGATACTCTCGGTAGCTTGCCAGGCTCTCCGAGAGAGATGGAGGAATTGAACCCGGGTCGGCCACGTGCAAGGCAAACGCCCTACCCGCTGTGTTATTGCTCCGCCCATGCAATTAACTACAGGTGTTTAATAAGTTGTCATTAATAAGACATTAATAAATTGTCATTAATCTCTCTCCTCTGGTATGAGTTAATCTAGATTCATATATTCAGCTTTTTATTATTACTTTAGTATCCTTGAATCGGAATCATTTTTTAAAATCATTTGGGGCACAGTTTTTGAAATGTGATAACCAGTTATTTGATAGAAAGTCTCAGTTTGGGCTGGCTTGGTTCAGTAGTGTGCTAGTAAATGTTTGGCCTTGCAATAAAGCCCTGAGACTTTTTTTTTTATGCCTACATCCAAGTGTCTAAGTGTCTTTAAAAGGGCCTACTTTCTAAGGTGTCTTTAAAGCTTTGCGCAAAGGTTTTAACAAAGTGAGGCTATTGGGAAAGTAGGGGGATAAATGCTTTGCCAGGTCTTTTAAGGAAAGCCTTAAGTTGATGAAACCTCTCCAGAAATTTTAGGGTTCTGTCATTGATGTAGTTTGACCTGCTTCCTCCAGGGGAAATGAAATAGCTCGTTTGGTATAGCACATCTCTGACAAATTCAAGGCCTGACCTGATCCCTGGCACTGTGACCCCTGAGCACTCAGGTCCATACTGCTGGACCTGACATCGCTGACAGGTCTAGACCCCCTTGAGAGGCACCTTGCATCAGCCCCAACTGGGAATGGCCCCTGAAAAATAAAAAGCAGTAAGTCTAACTTTACTGAAGAGCTCAACAGGACACTGGAAAGCAGTCATTAATTAACTAAAGCATCACCAATTTCAAATGCAGTGGTTGTGTTGTCCTTGATTAGGAACTCAATCTATGTTGTCATGCGAGATACAGTGCTCCTTGGGTGCATATATATGGCTTCTGGACGGTCTGTCAAATAGGATCTGCCCTGTTTGCTCAACAAGCTTATTCTTTTTCTTTTTAGTTCTTGGTGCTGAAAATCAGGAAAGAAACATAAATTTACTTGACCAGCACGAAAAGAGGAATCATACAATCTGAACCAGACTGGAAAACGCCTACTTCGTGTTACGATTCAAGATCAGTACAATATGCTCATGAGGGATTTAATACTGTGAAATGTACTAAATGAAGTATGTATCTAAGGATAATTATTGTGGAATTGTAGTATATATACTTTATGTAGGAAAATGAGACTGTCTTTTTGACAGTGTTCTTTTTAGTGGGTACCTCTGAAGTGTCGATATCATGTCAAAATTTCTTGGCTAATATGGTTTCATGATGAGAAGATCCAGACCAAAAATAGGACATATGTATTTCAAGTATGGTGACAATACTTGTTCTGGGATTTAACTTTATTTGAAAAATAAAAGCCTGTAGAAAGCCTCACTTCTGAGCTAAGGGAGAGCACTGTTTTGAGTCCATGGCACTCTCGTCTCTGTTCTTGTCCCTGGGTGTTCTTGTGCTGAGTGGCTGATGGCAGCCTGTCCTTTTCTTTCTCCCAGGGCAGCACTGAATGGTTGTTTGATGTTCTTAAGTGATCACTTCTGGTTCTGATAATAGTAAGGGACACTGTTAAGCATCAAAACAGTTTCAAACAAATCTAAAATACAAAGGTATTTTGTGCAAATGTTTTTTAAAAACTAGTAACATAATATTTGTCATTAATGACAAGTTTTAAGTGACTTGGAACTGGATGTTGTGATCTATACTTCACTTACATGTGCAGGGCAGAAAACCTGAAATAACTATTATCAAGAAAAGCCACTAATGTATTTATTATGCTTTTGACACACTGGGACCAAAGCAGAGAACCCCCCAGCATACAGCTTTAGCAGAGCACAGGAGGACGGCAGAGCCCTGGGGGCAGTTTGTGGGGACTTCATACCAGATATATAAAAGGCACTGCTGTTCAAGTGTGTTACAGATTGGGAAGATTTAGAAAGACAGGAAAGATACACATTCTGCTTTTGGCAAATTATTATTACAAAGAGTAGTGTAAAAGTCAAATGTCAGGGCCAAAGATACAGCCCAGTGGGTAAGGCACTTGCCTTGTATGCAGCCAACCAGGTTCGCCACTCCGTGGCACAATATGGTCCCTATCACAGCTTAAGCTCACTCAAGCAGTGATCCTTGAGTACAGCCAGGAGTAAGCACAGCTGCATGTGGCCCCAAAACCAAAACAATCAAATGTCAATTTGAAAAGGACTAATTCAAATTCGTATTACACAGGTATGACTCAAGCAGATTCTTCTCCCCTTCCCGCACCTAGTGATTTTTGAACTCTCCTGGCCGTGTTGCAATATCGTGCAGCCCCAGAGATGGGTCTGGGTCTCTTGCAGCTCAGTCAGCTCTAGATCATGACCCTCAAGCTGGTTCTTAATATTTGAATAGGCTTAGCTCATTACTCTTATGAAATACAGTGTCTGGCAGCATCACATTAATTTTCACTGAGGAAAAATGGTTTATTAAAATAAACTTAAAAGTCACAGGATTTAAGCTGCAGAAGCCTTGCATCAGTTAGTATAAGCCAAATAACGGGGGTTTAAAGCTGTGGCTTATTCAGGACAAACAGTCCCCAGGTGGGCAGTCATTATGCCCTTGTAATCACAGAAGGCAAGAAGATCTAGTTTGCATTCAGGTTACGTCAGCATAACCATTTACCTATTCACCAAGATGAAGGGTACATAAGAGTAGTTTATAGTACTTTAAATCCTTGTCCAAATCACTTTGTATCTTAAGTCTTAGTTGTTTTCTCTTTTGCTTTCTTAAGTAGAAAGCCTGAGTGATCAATAAAACATTTCCTGTTTAGTTGGTGTTGAGATTTGCTGAAAAATGAAAAATATATTAATCCTATTTTTTGAAGGCCCCCAAATACTGCTAGAATGACTCTGAGCTCAACAATCAAACCACAAGTGTCCCCTAGTCTAATATTCCCACTAGCACTACTGTATGTGGCCCCTGTAAAAACAAGTTTTCATTTCTTTTGCCTTATTGGATACCAAATTAGTTTGTAAAAATAATTTAAAAAATAAAATATGGTCCAAACCCTAAGGATAAAGATTTGCCTTTCAATAACAGTTTGTGGAAAGAGTAAACTGTCAATAAGGATAACCATTATTTCATCTACATGTGCAAGGATACAAAAAGGTCATTCATTCAGGAAGTGTTTCTCCTGGCAATCATGCCATGTTTTATTTCTACTGACTTCCCGCAAGATCACTGGCACCCATTCAAACGCATCAATTTAGTCCTGGCTATTTACACAAAAGCCAAAAAAAAAAAAAAATTACCAAAAGCCCATGTAATAAATGCCAAGAAGGTATTCCTGACTTTGTTTTCAGTTTATCAACAAATCAACTATTCTAATGTTTTATATATTAGAATGAAATAGAAATTTTATTCAATGATAAGTAGACAAGATTGATTCCTTTCACACACACGTACAAACACACAAACTGAAATATAATTGTAGCTTTTGTTGATTAGAATTATAATCACTGATTTTTTCCCCCGTGTCTTATTTCTGCAGTGCCTGGGGTCAAACCTAGGAGCTTACACACAGGTTTGAGTGCTCAAATACTGAATTATGATCTCTCTAGCACTTTTGAAAATTTATTTTATTGACTCACCATGATATAGTTACAAAGCTTTAATGATTGGGTTTCAGTCATACAGTACTCCAACACCTATCCCTCCACCAGTGAACATTTCCCACCATCAATATCCCAGTATCCCTCTCGCTCCCCCCTCCCCCCAACCACCTGCCTCTATGGCAAGCACTTTTCTTATCTCTCTCTCTCTCTACTTTGGGGCATTATGGTTTGTAATACAGATACTGAGAGGCTATCACGTTTGGTGCTTTACCCACTTTCACCACATTCTTCACATCCACAGCCATATGTTCCATCATTGTAATAGTGGTCCCTTCTCTATCCCAACTGCCCTCTACCCCAGCCCTGAGGCAGGCTTCCAACCGTGGACCAGTCTTCCGGTTCTTGTTTCTACTGTCTTTGGGTCTCATACTATGTTTATATCCCACGAATGAGTGCAGTCAATCTGTGTCTGTCCCTCTCCTTCTGACTTATTTCATTTAGCATGCTACTCTCCATGTCCATCCATATGCTGTATTTTATGACTTTGTTTTTTTCTAACGGCGGTATATTCCATTATGTAGATGTACCATAGTTCCTTTATCCAGTTGTCTGTTCTTGGGCACTCAGGTTGTTTCCAGATCCTGGTATTGTGAACAGTGCTGCAATGAATATGTAAGTACAGAAATATTTTGTACTGGGGGTGCAAAAAACCATATTGTTTTTCAAATGGAGTGGACCAGTCAGCATTCCCACCAACAATGAAGTAGAGTCCCTTTCTCCCCATTTCTGCACCAGCACTGGTTTTCTTTTTGACAGCATTTTTTTTCAATATGGAAAAGGTTTTAATAACTGATTTTAATAATGGTATCTTTAGTGTTTATCTTATTAGACACTCCATTTTGTCGGTTTGGGGGACTTAAAATTGGAAAAGGGATGAGTATTATGGTCCTGTAATCACTGATTTTGTTTTTGGGCCATACTCAGTAATGCTCAGAGGTTACTCCTGGCTCTGTACTCAGGAATCTCTCCTGATGGTATTCAGGGGACCATATGTGGTGCCAGAGAATTGAACCAGAGTCAGCTGCATGCTAAGTAAAAAAGCACCCTATCCCCTGTACTATCACTTCAACCCCTCACTGTGATTCTTAATATGATGGAATTGAGAATTTATTACTAAGCCAGCATGCTGACAATAGATTGATAAATATTATGATTACTTGGTAATAATGGAATGGTGGGAGAGAATACTGAAAGCAGAATTAAAGTTGAGAAAAATCGGTCTATTCCCAGTCTCAATTTTGAGTCTAAAATTTTATAAATGGTAAGTCAGGGGCCAGAGAGATAATGCAGCATCTAGAGCATTTACTTTGCATGTGGCCAACCTGGGGTTGATGCCCAGCATTCCATATGGTATCCCAAGCCTGCCAGAAGAATTTCTGAGTGCAGAGTCCAAAGATGAAAAAAAAATGGTTAGTTCACAAGACACTCAACATATTTTAACATTTGTCTTTCAAAGTTATTCTTAAATACATAAATAGAAAATTTTAAAGTTCAGTTAGGGCCCAGAGAGATTGTACAAGTGGTAGGTACAGCACATGCTAAGCATGTGCAAGGCCTCTGCTTTAGATAGTCTATGAGAACTTGGAAAAAAAAAAAACCAACAAACAAACCTGGCCCCTAATCACCCGAGATAAATGGTCTTTAAAAAATATCTTCCTGGGGGCCGGAGAGTGATAGTACAGCGGGTAGGGTATCTGCCTTGCATGCGGCTGACCTGGGTTCAGTCCCCGGCATCCCATATGATCCCCCAAGCACTGCCAGGAGTAACCTCTGAGCATCGCCGGGTGTGATCCAAAAAGAAAAAAAAAAAATCTTCCCTCTTACAATAAAATTATACCTATACCTTGCAAAGAGCCAAAACCCTGAGTTGAATTGGAGAGACAGTACACTGGGTAGGGTGCATGCCTTGACCATGACCTGAAGCCGTCTGAGGTTTGATCTCTGACAATATGCTCTCCTGAGCCCTATCAGGAATGGTCCCTGAGCAGAGACGGGGAGACAAGAGGAAAAAAGTATGGCTCAAACACACTCACGCACTCTTTCTCTCTTGTGATATATATCATAAGCTTAGAGATCTTTATACCTCTGTAAGATTCTAATTCTGTGGCAGGAGCTTGGTAAATATTTGAATACTAAGCTGAAGCAAGTCATTTTTATTTTCAGAACCTCTATAAAGCAGATTTTGATGAACAAGCATGTTTTTAGCACAAACATTAAACATGGGAATTAGGATGAAAACTTTGTCAAGCCTGTGAGATAAATTGCTTTTCACTAATTTACCTCTTTCAACCCTGCAACAGAACCTCCAGGGTGTTGTATCACATCTGCCTTTACCCAGAACTCATTATTTACCTAAATGTTTTAACTTATTCTTGGCGAAAGAGCTTATGCCATTTATCAAATTTAATGTATGTTCTATCTAAAGGAATAGTTCTGTGACCTTGGTCAGCAGACTACAACTGCCATTCTTTTTCTAATAAAAGACACTTCTGATACAATTTTTTTTTCTTTTTTGTGATGGGGTCATTCAAAAGTTTTTCCAGAAGTCAGTAAATGACCTGTTAAGTATCCTTTAAAATTTGGCTTAATGTTTGGACTTCAGAGATTGTGGGTTTGCAGCCTGTTTGCAACTTCCCAGCAATATCTCCAACCCTGCCAATTATCAGCTGAGCTGTCCAAAGGGGCAGGTGCCTTGCAGAGGCAGTCTGGAGCCAGGAGGGATACCAGGATCCC